AGCTTAAGTGACACTTCTCTAAAGAAACCTGACCCAACACTCAATGAAAAGTCATTTTTCAGTCACTTTCTGTAATTGTCAGGATTCAGGTTCAGTGACTATAACAAAAGCCAAAAAACAATAGCTCAGGATGGAAATGTACTTCTCTGTAAGCAATCCAGAACTGATATATCAGCTACTTGTTGCTGGGGCTGGATGGGAGGTCTCGGCTCCTGACTTTTTGTTCTGCCATTCTTGACACATCTTGGCTTCCATCTCTTCATCAAAGATCATGGGTCCAGTTTCCACCATCGGGTCCTCTTTTCAGCCAGCAGGAAGAAGAGAAGGGCAAGAAGAGGGCATAACCCTTCTTTATAAGGACATGACCCAAAAATGGCATGTCATTTATGTCCACACTCCTTTGTCTAAATTTAGTCACATGGCCACACCTAGTTGTAAGGGAGACTGGAAAATAGTCTAGTGGGGCAGCCGTATGCTCAGCTAAAACCCAGGGGTTCAATTACTAAGGAAAATGGAGAGAATGGATGTTGGAGCAAATGGTCATCTCTACCCCATAGTATTTCTTGGAAGCACAAAAACAGTGGTCAGGATATCAAAGTAAAGAGGTCCTTAGAGGGCCGGCCCGTGGCTCACTCGGGAGAGTGCGGTGCTGATAACACCAAGGCCACGGGTTCGGATCCCTATAAAGGGATGGCCGGTTAGCTCACTTGGGAGAGCGTGGTGCTGATAACACCAAGTTAAGGGTTAAAATCCCCTTACCAGTCATCTTTAAAAAAAAAACGAGGTCCTTAAAGACCATCTAGTTAAACATTTTCATTTTATAGGTGGGGAGACAGAGCCACAAGCAACTTGTCCAAAATCACATAGCAAGCCAGTGGCAGACCAAAGCTGCAATTCAGGTCTCCTAACTCCAAGCCCAGTGCTCCAAACTGGGGAAGGGATTGGTTCTAGAGGGACTTTAGCATTATATGTATTATCATTATTCATGTATTATGTACAACAAGGATATATTCACGTATGTTTGTGTAAATAAAAATAAATAAAAACGTATACATAAAAAAGTGTTCACTGGTCAGTGGAGAAACTAATTTACTTATTTTTTATTTTTGGTGGCTGGCCAGTAAAGGGGAGAAATTTAAATTAAAACTACAATGAAATACCATAGTACGTAAATTAGAATGCCTAATAGTAAAAAGACAGACAATGCCAGTTGTTGAGAATGTGGAGCAACTGAAACTCTCATATATTACTGGTAAAATCACTACAGAAAACTGGTCCTATCTACTAAAACTGAACATAGGTATACCTTATAACCTAGTGACTTGACATCTAGGTATTTATACCTAACAGAAATGTATACATATGTTCACCAAGAGATATGTTGAAGAATGTTCATAGCAACATTTACTAATGCGTGTAATAAACAAAAGCTGGGGCCGGCCTGTGGCTCACTCGGGAGAGTGTGGTGCCGATAACACCAAGGCCACGGGTTTGGATCCCATATAGGGATGGCCGGTTGCTCACTGGGTGGGCGTGGTGCTGACCATATGTTCACCAAGAGATATGTTGAAGAATGTTCATAGCAACATTTACTAATGCGTGTAATAAACAAAAGCTGGGGCCGGCCTGTGGCTCACTCGGGAGAGTGTGGTGCCGATAACACCAAGGCCACGGGTTTGGATCCCATATAGGGATGGCCGGTTTGCTCACTGGGTGAGCGTGGTGCTGACAACACCAAGTCAAGGGTTAAGATCCCCTTACCGGTCATCTTTTAAATAAATAAATAAATAAATAAATAAAAATAAAAAATAAACAAAAGCTGGAGATAAACCAAACGTCCATCAATAGTAAAATGTGGTAGATTTATATAATGGAATATCACAGGTATGAGAATGAATGAACTACAACTACACATCACAATACGGATGAATCTTACAAATAAAATTTTGAGCAAAAGAAGCAAGACACAAAAGTGCATGCTATATTCTATTTACGTTCAAAAACAAATAAAACAATGCAAGCAGAAGTCAGGATAGTTACCCTTTGTGGGGGTAAGCTACTGAAAGCAGATGAATTCTCGGGTTCTGGAAATGTTCTTTTTTTTGATCTGGGTGTTAGTTGCATGGGTATGGTCATGTTACCGAGACTACAATGGTCCGTTTGCTCACCGCTCAATAGCCAATAATTGAGAGACAAGTGTTGATGTAAGAAAAGGTAGCCTGGGGAAATGGTGGTGTTATGTCTCAAAGACCATCTCCACCTCTCCCAGATTTGTCAAAGGGTTTTATAGGGGTCTGAGGTGGAAAGTTGATTCATGGTGACCAAGCGGGGTCATGCAGACATGCTTGAGTGTTTCAGATAATCATCAAGGAACTTCCCGGGTGGGAGTTGACCAGTGTCATAGTTCATTCTCCATGGGTTCAGGTCCTGTTATTCTCAGATAAGATCAGGTTAGTAAGCTAGTAAAGAATGGCCATCTGGGTTAATGATTACTTGTGTACAACATGACAGCAAGTGTCATTGTGTTCTGGTGATTAGCTGCAGGCTACATGGTTTGGGTTACAGGAGAGAACAAGTTTTCACATTCAAAGGTTTAACAAAATGGAGTTACTTCTGTTCAGGCTGTTACATTCATTTTGTGAAAATTCAAGAACACTTACACTTCTTTGCAGTTTTCTCAATGTATGGTGTATTTTTAATAAAAAGTTAACTTAAAAAAATGAAAAATTAAAAGCAAAGAGAGAGAGACATGTGTCTGGTGGACACAGCCTGGGTTTACATAGTGCTTTCAGTGTAAGAATCTCAACGGAAAATCCTTTCTGTAAGAAACTTGGTTTCCCAAGGAGAAATAAGCCAGAAACCAGTGTGTCTAGAAGCCAGATGTGTCTAGGAGCAGTTACCAAGCCAAAGCCCACACAGAATACATCAAGAAATAAAACCATCGGAGGATTTCTGTCAGCTGATTTAAGGAGGAAAAGATACCCATTATTGAACTGGCAAATCAAAAGGAAGCTTGTTCTAGAGTATCAGGGACCTATGACTGGCTTTCCTGTGACATACAAGGCTGGCTCCTTTTTCTCTGCTGAAAAAGTTACCCAGAGAAAGTGAGGAGCAGAACTGAGAGGACAGACTTACATCAAGACCACAACTCCAGGGGCACATTTACATAGATAATAACGGAAATGCCCTCTTCCTGGAGTTGTGGTGTGAGGTGGCCCTGAGTTGAAATAGTATGTGACCTTAAACAAAACCCTTAACCTCTTAGGAGTCTCCATTTTCTCATCTGAAAAGAATCATCTTTTACCTCTCAAAGAAATTTTCCACGTGATCTCATTTGATCCTGATGTAGACATTATCATGCCTATTTACATATGGAGAAACAGGTTCGATGGGCAAAGTTAATTATCTTGGAAATTAAAAGCTAGTCTGGACTTTAGTTGGAAGTTATTTTGTCCAATCCTCCCATTTTGGGAGACTGAGGCCCAGAGAGGAAAAGAATTGAACCAAGGGCTCACAGAGGGTCAGGTGGCAGAGCTGGGACCAGAACCTAAGGGGTTAGGTTTTAGTAACCTGAAAAGTGGACAATCTCAGACATTCTTGGATTCGTGAAATGCAGACAAATCTCTGGCCTCCCAGTCACCCTTTCCACCCCCACCACACGATTCCCTGGGAATCATGCTGTGACACTAAACCAGTTTTGCAGGTGAGTCCCTGGAGTAAAGCTATCCCTTGCAGGCGGGAGGTGTATGACTTTGTACTTTGTGTTTCCTCCCAAGCCTGAGCACGGGGAGGATGAGGTGGTTCTGAATGTAGTGAACAGACCCGCCCTGGAATACAGGAGGTTTTGTTTAAAAAAAAAAAAAAAAAAAAAAGAAAAAATTTTTTAAAAATTCCTATTTTATTATATGTTTTTACTACAGAAGAGTGTTAAATATTGACAAATGTCAAAACTGCATTCTTGGAATAAATCCCACTTGGATATGATCTACTATTTTTTAATGTGCTGTTGGGTTTTATTTGATAATTTTTAGCATTCTTTCATCAATACTCATAAAGTGAAACTAGACTGTAACTTTCTTCTTTCGTATAACTTCGTATAATGTATGCTATACGAAGTAGAAAAATGTCTCGGGCTGGCTGGTTAGCTCACTTGATTAGAGCACAGTGCTGATAACACCAAGGTCAAGGGTTCGGATCCCATACCAGCCAGCCGCCGAAAAAAAGGAAAACGTCCTCATACCATGATAACCAAAACCATCACTGCAGCAACCCCTGGAGAGTGAGATGGCGGGGGTGGGGGTGGAGGTCTTCTTTCCTCCTCTCCTCCCACCCACGCCCATGGCCATTGCTCTTGCTAGTAAGCAGGCCGGAGCTCCAGCACCTTTGCACTTGCCAGTTCCTCACCTGAAATACCTGTCCCTTGATCTTCACCTGGCTGCCTGCTTCTTACCATTTAGATCTTTGCTCCTCCCCTGACCACTTCATCCAAACAGGCCCCCTGTCTGTTCATGAAACCATTCTGTTTTATTGCCTCCATAGCACTTATGAGCCTCTGAAATCATCTTGTTTGAGTTTTGTGTGCCCCACCATGTTCCCTGAACGCACGAGCTGTCTCGTTTCCTAATGTATCCTCAGCGAAGGACAGAATCAGGCACAGGGCAGACAGATAGATGCTGGATGGATGAATGATTTGGAGAGATGAATGGTGGGTGAATGAGGTTGGGAGAGCCGCTTTCGATTTTTGCTTTGTACACGTTTGTATTTTGAAAGTTTTTTGAAATGAGCATTCATCACTTTCGCAAACAAAAAAAAAAAGTCTTTCTTTTTTCTTCCAAAGAATAAAAAAGGCAGATAGGCTACTGCAGAGGACTCTACCCTCAGCAGATTGTTTTGCGTTAGAAAGTCTCCAAATGAAAGCGATTCCCTCCTGGTATGGATTGGAGACCCTGAGACCAGAGAGCGGCGGAACCTCGCTCAAGTCCACACAGCACTCAGCAAACCAGCCTGGGTCCCAAATCCCCCTACTGCCCCGTCAGCCTGGGCAGCTCCCGGGGTCGTCCCCCGGGTGACCCTGGAGGGACAGGGGGAAGGTGAGGGGCAGGGAGCGGCGGGAGGAGGAGGAGCGGCGGAGGAGGGAGGGGCGCCCGGCGCGGCCCGCGGGGACCCGCCCAGCGAGGGCGGGGCTTTGGTGCT